CTATACATAGATTCTAAGCTCCTTAAGGACTTTGACCTCTTTTATATGCCTGTGGCCCTCAGTGCAGTGCATTCAGAGGTTCCTAGTTCATGGGGTGATGTCCTTTATTTAGTACGTAATGACTGAATGCCTTTACGGAAGATTAAGTGTGCTTTCAGGCAGTACTTCCTCATAATGATTTCCAAGTAGCTTTTCCTTTTCTGTCTTCCATGGGTCAGGGTGAAGTAACCATGCAGGCATTTCTAAAAGGTGCATCTATCAGCACTAAACCACCACTCACCAAGGATCGAGGAGTTGCTGCCACTGCAGGAAGCAGTGGAGAGAACAAGAAAGCCAAACCTGTTCCATGGGTGGAAAAATAGTAAGTAAGCTTGTGTTTTTATTGAAATAATTAACACATGACCTCTCTAACCAGTTTTGAAGGAGTCCCTAGGTGGCCCAAACTGCTAGCCAAAAGGTTGACAGTTTAAACCGGGGCTTCCAACTGGTTTGTTCAAATCCCTGCTGAGAATTTACATTTCCACCTGAGATATACTGAATTAGAATCTACATTTTAACAAGATTCCTGATGATTATTATGTATAATAAATTGTTTTATGTATAATAACCACTGCTCTACTACTAGTGGTTCTCAGAATTGGTCCCTAACCAGCAGCATTAGCATCACCTGGGAACTTGTTAGAAATGCAAATTCTCAGCCCTGGTTCGAACCCACACAGAGGCACCTTGGGAGACCTGGTGGCCTGGCAGTCTGCTTCCGAAAGTTCACAGCCTTGAAAACCCTGTGGAGCAGTTCTGCTCTGCACGCGTGGGGTCTCCGTGAGTCGGAACTGACGCCACAACATCTGACAGCAGCAACCAGTTCTGATCACTTGTTTTACTTAAGGGGATGACTTGCTTTGCCTATGTGTTGTCCTTGAAAATCCCCACTTGTTTAAGTCATGGAGACTTGGAACTGAAAGCAGCCTTAGAATGATCTGGTTTCATTCCCTTATTCTGTGGCTGAACCAGGGTTTGAGGAAATTTGTACACTGAGCACAGTTTAGGGGCTGGGATACAGCTGTGAAGAAAACAAAGTTTTCTCTTGTTTAGTTTACTAACAAGTGGAAATTGTTGGGGTTTTGTGTGTTTATACCTTTTTGGCAAAAACAACGCTTGAA